TACTCCTCAGTCATTAGGGATTTATATACCTGATAAAAAAGAAAATTTAGTCTTGAACCTCAACATAAATCCCACACAGCACACTTTCCAACTCAGTGCTACTATGAGTCTCAGAGGAAAAAAATCCAGATTTTCAAAATGCAAACCGTCAGACCCTCAGTCTTCCTCTTCACAACCATCCGCCTCAAAACATTAGTTTTAATGCCTTGATTAGGGCGCCGAGAGACCACTCCCCTCAACACCAACTCCAGCTAGCCAACCTGTCGCATCCATTTGGGTATACAATCTATTTTATCTCCCTTCCCCCTCCCGCAACACCCTTTCCCATCCCTCTTCAGAGACCCTTCTCACGAGAGTCTGTTTTTACAAGAAATAGATCACCTTCTCCGCTTAGGAGCCATAGAATGTGTGACTCAGCACCTATGAGGCAAAGGTTTTTACTCTTTTTATTTCCTGATACCAAGAAGGGAGGTTGGAGACCCCATACTGGACCTCCGAGCACTGAACAAATTTGTCAAGGCTCAAAAATTCAAGATGGTCACACTAGCAGTGATTATTCCATCTTTGGAACAGGGAGATTTTGTTCTCGGCCCTCAACCTACAGGATGCCTATTTTCACATATCAATCTTACCTTCTGACGGACAATTCCTCAGATTTACTCTGGACCAGGATCATCACCAGTACAGAGTATTCCCCTTTGGTCGCTCATCGGCTGTGAGAGTATTCTCCAAGGTCCTCTCCGTAGTGGTAAGGGGATCATGATCTACCCCTACCTGGACAATTGTCTCCTCAGAATCCTCTCCTTCGACGAGGCTCTTCAGATCACCCAAACAACTGTGGAGTTGTTCACGGATTTGGCCCTACAGAACAATGTCCAAAAATCGACGTTAGCCCTGGTACAGTGCCTAGAATTTATAAGAGCCAATCTTGACTCATCACAGGCGAGGATGCTCCTTCCACAGCACAGGTTCCACAACTTGTCCACACTCATAGATTCAGTACAAACCAGCCCTCTAATATCAGCCAGACACTGCCTTCAACTTCTGGGGCATATGTCTGCAAGCAGGTCCCTGATAACTCATGCCAGGCTTCACATGAAGTGTCTCCAGATGTGGTTCTGCTCGGTTTACAGGCCGAACAGAAACAGACTAGACAAACCTCTGTCGCTACCCACCAAAGTCAAACACTTCCTGGACTAGTGGAAGGACCCAACAAATGTCTGCACAGGGATCCCCTTCTCAGAAACTTCCCCATCATTACTACTCACCACTGAAGCATCCCTCATAGGGTAGTGCGCACATCTCAACAACCTCACGACACAGGACAAGTGGTCATCCATGGAGATGTCTCTTCACATCAACCTCTTTGAACTCAGAGCGGTCAGATGCGCTCACTTCCTTCCGCTAATCAGAAGTACACATACAGGGTCATAACAGACAACATAGCATGCATGTACTACATTACATAAACAAGAGGGGCACCAGATTACCCTCCCTTTGCACTAAAGCTATGGAACCTGGTGCCTTTCCCACAGTGTCACAATATCAGTGTTGTACCTTCCAGGAGTACAGAACACAACAGCAGACAGTCTCAGCCACAGGTTCCCACATGACCACGAATGGGAGATGAACTCAGAAGTACTACACAACATATTCAGATGGTGGGGGACACAGACCGTAGACTTATTCGTCTGAACAAGAAATGTCCATCCTACTGCTCCAGGGCAGGCCTCGGACAACACTCCTTAGGGGATGCTCTCCTTCTCTCGTGGGATAAGGGCCTTCTATACATCCCTCTATTATTAAAATTCCTGTTAAAAATACACAGAGAGCAAACGTCATACTGATTGCTCCCACCTGGCCGAGACAGCTGTGGTACCCTTACCTGTCACAGCTGGCAAGGTGTTTGCCAACCCCTCTTCAACCCACTCCATACCTCCTCTTGCAGAACGAAAAACACACTCCCCACCCCAACCTGCAGATACTCCGTCTCAACACCTGGCTCCTTCATGGTTTAGCGCATAGAAAGATCCTGCTCTGAGAAGCTACAGAAAGTGTTACTACACAGTAGGAAATCGGCTACTCGTCATATGCACCTGCAAAAGTGGACGGGGTTTCAGATTTGATGTAATTCCAAGCAAATTTCCCCGACATCTGCTACTCTCTAAATGGAAATCAGGACTATCTCTTAGTTCACTGAAAGTACACCTAGAAGCCTTTCATCAACAAATAGAGGGATACCCAGGGTTCTCGCATCCAACTACAAAATGATTCCTCAAGGGTATAGTAAACCTTATTCCCTAACCCAGGCGTCCCACCCTAATATGGGACCTAGAACTTAGACTACTTAAGAGCCTAACTAGGCCGCCCTTTGAACCCATGGCCACTTGTTTGCTCACATACCTGTCAATGAAGACAGCATTCCTGGTGGCAATCGCCTTGGCAAGGAGAATAGGGGAGATATCGGCACTGATGGCTCACCCCCCTTATACAGTGTTCTTTCGAGACCAGGTTACTCTCAGACCGCACCTGAAGTTCATCCCCAAGGTGATTTTGGTTTTTCACATGAATCAACTGATTCACCTCCCAACTTTTTACCCTAAGCCTTACTGGGATAACAGGGAGGCTGTACTACACATGGTTAGAAGGACTCTGGCCTTTTACCTGGACAGGACAAAGACCTTTAGGAAATCTCCTAAACTCTTCCTTTCCATTGCAGACTCATCAAAAGGTACAGCAATATCTGCACAGAGACTCTCAAAATGGGTCTCGAACTGCATTAAACGATGCTATGAGATTTACAAGATCATTCGTCCCTCTGAAATCTGTACCCATTCCACCAGGTCAATTTCCACCTCAGTTTCCTTCCTCAAGAATGTCCCTATTTTGGAAATCTGTAGACCAGCCACCTGAGTGTTTGTACATACCTTGGCAGAACACTATGCAGTTACAGGTGACTCGGCTTCTGATGCCAACTTTGGTGCTGCAGTATTATCATCCATAACAGATGCACCTCCAAAACCCCAGCCCTCCATTGGGATACTGCTCATGAGCCACAGCGGAGCACCCATAGGGATACTACTTGAAGAAGAAGAGGAAGTTACTCATCTTGTGCAGTAACGATGGTTCTTTGAGATGCATATCCTTAGGGGTGTTCCACGACCCACCATCCTCCCCTCTACTTCAGAGTTCTTGTCAGGGACTCTGCAATAGAGAAGAAACTAAGGGGGGTTTGCCCATGCAGCTCTGGTTAGTCCCATGGCAGAGCACAGTGGGGAGTACAGTGCACGTGCGGGCCAAATGGACACTGCTACCAAAGTTCTCTAATCAGCAGCTCAGGGAGACAAGCACAACTACACTGTGGCTCTTTTGGCTAATGTTGAGTTCTAATTTGACTCCTGAACCACTGAGGTCGGAGTACCACTGTCTTAAAAGTAAATGATGCAGGCTATCCTAGATGGGAAAACTCAGGGTCCCTTATTCCCTTGCAAATGTTCCCCAGAAGGAAAAGAAAATCAAGACAGATTGTGCTTCCCTGGTGCTTAGCTTTTTGGAGAAGGGTAGTGAGTGCACAATAATTTAGTTGAAAGAAGCCATCTATTTCCAGGGCCTATGCTAAACTATGTAAAATCTCTAATGAAAAATTGGATAAATATGGCTCTGCCCATAAGTTAGACTTCAAGATATCCTCCTTGGGTTAAAAATAAAAAAAGACCACTGTCTCTGTTGAGGGTGCTGTTGCCCCTAAAGATCAGTGAACAAAAGATTAGAAAGAATTTAGTTAAAGGGGACATGATAGAACTTTGTTGGTGCTGCATGGTGCTTTGTCCTTAGCCTCCACTTCTAAAGCCCTTCCCTAGCCTAGCCTTTGTGGATGTGGTTAACTCATCTATGAGTCTCCAGACGAGAGGACTGCTCTGTTATGAGAAGACACATTTGCAATTAGTTCAAATTGACTGTTACCTGCTATCAAGTGTGCTGTAAGTGTAAAGTTACCTTTGAAGAAGAAAAGCAAGCATTTTTCATTGACTTTTTGCCTAAATCTATTAAATCTTACCAACAGACCCAGCAATGATTGACCTTGAATTGAATAATAGACAAATATTGATTTACTACCCTTAACCAGAGTACCAAGATAAGTGACATCTTGCCTTTTTACTAATAAAAAGGATAGGCACATGTAGATACTTTCTCTGTTAAGTAAATGCACAGGACTCCACAAATCAAAGGTTAAGGTTTTAGTGGCATTTTAATGACCTGCAACAGCTACTTTTCCTCAAAAACTGGTCTTTATATTCTGAACTGTATGTTTCAGGTCAAAGCTCTCCAATTCAGTTATTGTAATATTTATAAGTAATGTTTAGAAATATTTAATTGTTCTAAGTGATTTGCTGAAGACAGAGGTTAAAAGTTAGTATTTTTATTTTTAGTTTGATAGTAATAATTCCAATTACAATGACAGCCGTAACATTGTTACCTTTGCTAACTTATAGTTTTCAGTCCATCTCTACTGCGCAGCAATCCTATTCTTATATGCACTTTATTCTGCGAGATCATTCAAACGCAGGTCACTGGTGTAGTACATCACCTTTAATTCTCATTGGGTTACCGTTAAGAAAGGGGTACCACATTTGCCCCTTAGTATAAGAAACTGTGGAGCAGCCCATTCTCTGCAATGCACATCTGACCTCATTGATTCCCAGCATAAAGGGATTAACACAGGTAACTAGATGCAGTAAAGATTGTTTATGCTTTAACCCCAGAACATTCTGTTTCACTGTTTTGTAATTAGGGAGTTCACACAGCAGGGATTAGTTACAATTAATCCTAGGGGAGTATAGACAGTTAAATATAAATTGGTTTTGATTGGGTCTTTATACTGGCCTACTAAAGAAATGATCTTTTTATATATATCGTAATTGAAAAGAAAAGGATTTGCCACACCCACTATAGAATATGTGTACCCCTAAATCCTCTTTTTCCTTGACTTTGTTTCTCAGACCACCAATTCTCCCTAGTCCTTCTCCTTCAAAATCCATTCCAATCCCACAGCCCTTCCGACCAGCAGATGAAGACCATCGGAATCAATTTGGGCAACGAGACCGCTCGTCTTCAGCACCCAATGTGCACATCAATACAATAGAGCCTGTCAATATTGATGTAAGTATCAATATAAGTTTGATCAATAACAGTGGAGTTGATCAGCTTTCTTAATACATGCCGCTGAGCTCGTAAAACACACAAATGTTATTGTTCTAAATAAATCCTTGTTGATCTGCTTAAATCTTCATAAATCCTAACTAACAAGAGAAGAGTTTTTACCAGTCAGAGCTGGGAAAAAATCAGGCAATCCCTTCACAAATAATATTGAATCTCTCTTGACAACCCTATCCCCACTTCTCCACACAAGCACACTGCCACTAACAATTAGTTTTAAGATCAATTCCTGAACTTGTTATTGCTAGCAACACCCCACAGTGATGATCCTGAAAAGCCAGTAACAACTCTTGTAAGACATCCCAAGTATTGGAAATGTTGTTTTAAATGTTTGCTTTCTTGTATCACTTACAATGGGAATAATGTTTCTGGCATTGGAGGATGTGGTTCTTGCAATAAACTGAATTTGAAATTACCAGATGCTGCTTTGAATCTCAGAAATGGTCTATTGCCCCACATGTATCACCCTTAACATTCTCCTTGAACCTCCAATAATTTTCTACAATATGATTGTCTTGAATTTTTTTGTCTGTATCCTTTCACATTTTGGAGGCTGAATTTTAACATTTATGAAAATGCAGGACAAATACATTGTTTCGAACTAGGCATAATGCTGGCCAGCACTATGCAAACTACTACTAACACCAGTATCTTCCCAGTTTTTCTAACACATACCTGTATCCTAGAGAGACAAGGTGAGTGAAGTAATATCTTTTATTGGACCAACTTCTGTTGATGAAAGAGACAAGCTTTCGAGCTTACACAGAGCTCTTCTTCAGGGCTGGGAAATGTACTCAAGAGTGTCACAGCTAAATACAAGGTGGAACAGATTGTTTAGCATAAGTAGTTAACACACATTTTCAAGGGAACATTCAGTGAAGTGGCCTGTTAACACCTCTCCAGTCATAGGGGGCGAAAGCTGGGGGAGGGGAGGGAGGGAAAGGGGGAGAGATTTAATGGGTTATAGATTGTTGTAATAAGCCATAAATCCAATGTCTCTATTCAGTCCTTGGTTTTTTTAGTTTCTAGCAAACTCATGAATTTAAGCTCCCAGGCTCGTCTTTTGAAGGTGTGCAGGTTTCCTTTGAGGATGATGACTGAGAGGTCAGATATAGAATGATCTTTTTGTGATAACTGTTCACCCACAGATGATATGGTATTTTTGTCTTTTAGCATTTTTCTGTGTGAGTTCATTCGAGAATGTAGTGATTGTCTTATTTCACCTATGTAGTTGATATTGGGGCATTTAGTGCACAGGGTGAGGTATACTACATGTTGTGCTAGGCATATGTGTAGGATCTTGAAAGGTGTGTTGTGGAGGGTGTTGATCATTGTAGCAGTGGAGATATGTCTGCAGACTTTGTATCTGTTCTGGCAGGGTCTGGTGCTGCTTTGAGTTGGTGTGTCCCGGTCTCTAGGGAGCTTGCTTCTGATGATGAGCTTGGAGAGATTGGGGCTATGTTTGAGGCCATAAGACAGGGTTCAGGAAAGATTTCTTTCAGGATGTGGTCTCCATTGAGTATGGGTTTTAACTGTTTAATGATACCCCATATGGGTTCCAATATGGGGTAATAGATGACAACTGGGGATGTACAGTTGGAGGGGGTTTTATTTCTATAGTGAAGCAGGTTCTCTCGGGGTATATGGGTGGCCCATTCCATGACGTGATCTACTTCTCTGGTGGAGTGTCCTTGTTTGGTGAAGGCGGTTTTAAGTGTGTTAAGGTCTATATCCTGGAATTTCTCCTCAAAACGTGTTCTGTGGTATCTGAGTGCCTGGCTGTAGACAACAGATTTCTTGGTGTGTTTGTGGTGGTTACTGGAACTGTGAAAGTAGGTCTGATGATCCGTGGGTTTATGTATATAGTTGTCTGTAGGGTTCCATTGTTGAAGCTAATCGTGGTGTCCAGGAAGTTGATGTTAGTGTGGGAGTGTTCTAGAGAAGGTTTAATGGGTGGGTGGTGGTTGTTAAAGTTGTGGAGTAAGGGAGTTTAGGTCATCTGTCCAGAGGATGAAAATATCATCAGTGTATCCCAGGTATATCATTGGTTTCATGGTGCATTTGTCCAGAAATTCTTCCTCAAGGTGGCCCATGAAGAAATTGGCATATTGGGGAGCTATCCCAGTATCCATGGTTGTTCCCATGATTTGGACAAAGTGTTGTTGAATGTAAAATTGTTATGGGTGAGGATAAAATAGATGAGTTTGGCGATGTGATTGGGGTACTAAAGCCTGAATCCTGGTTTTTAGTACCATTACCTGTCTGTTAGCCTGCCCTCTGAAAATCACTGAGTTGTCAGTTGAGTTGTTTTGATTTAGCAGCAAAGCTACCGAAACATAAAGATGAACAAAGTCCTTGAACATGTGATCTAAGTAAGAGCAAAAGGTTAGTACATTAACCTACTGGGTCACCAGGCCACCAGATTCAAACACTTAAGGCTCATTGATGAAAAGTGATGCGTGAAGGGAATTTGCATAACTTTTCTCTGTTCAAAAATTTACATAACTTTTCTCTGTTCAAAAATTTACTACTACTTGTAAAATTGCTCAGTTATTGTGTTATGGTCCCTGGATATTTTGTAGCAAATGCAATCAATGCATACTACATTGCAACCTAAAAGAACCTGATAAAATTAATCAACATCTTTGAAAGGAACTTGAGAGCATTTGGTATAGAAATCAGGTACCTTGTTACAGGAAAAGCTTAAGGAAACTTTTGTGAATCAGTATCATCCACTTAAGAAATTGGTGTCCCAGCTTCTGATGTGACATTCAAGAGCATTTTATGTCTCTCACAACATAACTGGAAAAATGATTCCTGATTTGGTTCAATTTTTCCCCTTTCATGTTGACTAATTGCAGGCCTAAATCAATACCTACAGGTATGCATCTGTTTTAACTAGCCTATACTTCAGGTTAGTGTTGGGTTACACTATTTGAAATTAAATGATTTCTTAAAGTTTCATACATTATTATAGATTTTGTGTGCTACTGTAATTATTAGATTGTAAGCTCTTCAGGGCAGAGGCTGGCTTTTACTCTTTGGACAATTCTTAGTGTGATGGAGCTTCAATCCTGATGGGGCCTTTTAGGCAATACAGTGATACAAATAATAATATATGAACCAGATACATACACTTGTGCTTTTGTTTGTAGGACTTGATTAGAGACCAGGGGTTACGAGGAGAGGGAGGTAAGTAGTCTTAGAACTATCTTCTCTTACTAAATGTAATTACATGATTGCCTTAGTCCCTCCCCTTTGTACTACTTCATTCCTCCAAACACAGACACAGAGAGAAATGTGAAGAGAGCAATGAAATGTATTTACATTTGTTTGTCCATGATCTTTAGCATCTGTCTGATCAGGGTTTCAGTCATTCTAGGAGTGGGGGAGAGGGAAGGAGGAAAGGCTGTGAAATGGTAGCCAGTGTTTTTTAATTTTAAAATAATTGTATTTCTAAAGGGGAATCCCCTCTGTTCCTGATGGAGCCTTGAGGATTCTCCCCAACATATACTTAACCTCCAATCCCATTCTCAAAGCCCTTTATGCCAGCCAGGACCCTTCCACCTAAGGAGTCATCAGGGACTTCCTTTGAAGTCTGTCAACATGTTTTGTGAACCTGGCCATATAAACTGCTGTGTCTTGTAAATGGCATTAGATACTTGAGCTCCTTCTTCCCCTCTCCCCAGCTGAAGCTGCTGCTTTGCTGTACTGCATGCCTTTGTTAACCTGGGAAACAAGTAATTATGACTATTAAAGCCTGATCTCTTGTATGCCTTTCAACAGCACTGTTGTAGACAGCCTTAACTCTTAGCTAAGGCAAAATTAGTGAAAAAAGACAGAATTACCATTTTTCTTCACGTGTCACACATGAGCCCACAATCACTACTGTGAAGTCTGCTTTCCCTAGGAAGAACCCTAAGCACTGGCTGTCAAGGTCTTGTGAAAATGTCTCCTTTGCTGTACTTAGTCACTTGAGATGACATAGCTGACTCTTAATAAAGAGGAGATGTATGTGACCACTCACCCTGCTCCAAATAATGAACAGGCCTGATATTTCCTATTAACTATGACTTGCTTCACCCCTCAGCAAAGTCTTGAGTTAGCCTGATCTCTCTAGCTCAGTGGCTAGGGTCTTATACCTTAAGCTACAGCTGACTTTGGTTTTGCCATCTGTATCTGTTAACTAGTAAGGTGGTAGCTGGCTACTGCTTTGTGTTTTCAGGAGCTATGATTCCTTATACTGGCTCTAGTACCACCCCTTTTTCCCCCCTCCTTAAATCCATGAACCTACTTATAAAGAATTTGCCAATTTTAACTATCTTGTATGTCTTGGTAGCTGTGGCTTTCAACAAGTTTTGCCCATTATGTCCAGCATTTAAATGTCATACTATCATGTCAGTTTTAACTTTGGTCATAAGTTGTCTGCTTGGCATCTGAGAACAATTGGCTATTCCCATTCTTGAAAGCATGTTTTTAATAATTGGAGATGTTTTTTTCCCTTCAAAATCCAGAAGCAATCTATGAATAGGAGTCAAAGCCTCCTAGTTATTTCCCATGACTTCTTTCATTTCTTCTGTGTGTCTGTCTTCCTGTCTCTGCCTGCCCGTCTCTTTCTCTCTAACAGCCCCTTTGAACCAGCTGATGCGCTGTCTTCGGAAATACCAATCCCGGACTCCCAGTCCCCTCCTACATTCTGTCCCCAGTGAAATAGTGTTTGATTTTGAGCCTGGCCCAGTGTTCAGAGGTAGTTGGGCTCTTCTTTCTCGTTTTCACCCCAAACAAAATAAGTAACACTACAGATGCTGTTTGTGCCTCACCCTCACACCGTGTGTATGTAAGTGTGTGAGTTTACCAAAACACCTCAATTTTTTGCTTGGCCTGGCTGGAATGCTTTGAATGTGCTTTTCACACATATTCACGTCCACCTTTATACATATGCAACTATTGTATGTTAAATCTGACTTAAAGGTTCTAAAGCAAGGAATTTCAGAGTTAAGGTTTCCATACTGTCCCTAATATAGCTTGCTTATTGCAGGGATCTCAGATTGCAGTGGAATGAGGCCAAGGACATAGTGACATCCTTAACTTTGAATTTCCTTGACTGTCAATTTAATGTTCTAAGAGTTTTCTATATTTAACATTCTCTGTTTTTTAAAAGTACTGTAAGAAATAAAATGCAAATTGCAAACATTTCCCTTGATATTTTGTTAGGTCTTAGGCTTTTGGAGATCACGTAAGTGTCAACTTGCTATGATTCATATGTTTTCAGAGAGTTGCACTGACATCAAGTTGGGGATCTAGATAAGTTGGATCAGATCAGACACTAGTGCAGTTATTGCAGTTCTCTGCATAGTCCCAGTAAAGTAAATACTTGTTTGTGTACTAAAATTACTAAACAAGATCATCATTTTGATTTCTTATCAGGCCTAAGGATCTCTCAGGCATGAGGCCGTCAATAGATCTGTTGTTGTTTTGTACAAAATCCCAGAGTACTCAGTAGGATTTCATATACTAAAGATACCAAGTATTAAACAATAGCCTAGAATATTAGTGTGTGTGTGTGTATATATAGATAGATAGATAGATAGTAATGGATAGTCCAGTGCATACTGTATATGTTTTTCAAATACTACTATCCTGGCTGTTTCAAAGATTTTTGTTTCAGGATACTAAGAGCAATTCACTTTATGGACTAAACTCTTGGAAAATTGTTCCAATGATCTTTTTGAAGAGAGGCATTTGCTGTTCAGTTTTCATCTAACAGACATGACTAAACAAATCAGAATTAATTAAATATAGTGCATAAAATATATCTTCAGATTGCAGGCTGATGGCTTGCTGTACAAGTTTCAGTCCAACAGAAGCCGAAGTAGTCAAACTATAATTACTGGAAAAACAAGGCTTCTAGGTTACTTACAAATAGATTAACTAAAGCAGTTCTAACTTTGTGCTGTAATCATATTCTCATGGAAGGCTGAGTATTGTGTTGCTATTTTTGTATCTTGTGTTTAAAGTTGAGTACAAGACCTACCTCTAAGGAAAAAACCATTCTTGTTGAACTTTGACATTACAGCTAAAATCTATAATCTAATAAGGTTGTAGGAAAATTGCATCTGTCCTTTAAATGTCAGACAGTTAAGTTGAAATGTTTGTAATTCAGAAACATGGTAAAATTAACACAAAAAGCCTAGCTACTACGATATTAGTATAAAAAGGAGGAAATACTAAGGTGTTAGATTTTAAAAATAAAACCCCACCCTTACAAAATCAGTGGTTTCCAACTATTGGTACAAGTCTGCTTAGGTAAGACATCTGGCACATTTATCAGTACTAGTGCTTCACACCTTTATGATAATATTCTAGCTACTCCTTCCTAACCTTTATGATGAGTTTTCGTGATGGCCTGCGTATCCCTTTTGTCTGCCTCCCCTTTTCAACGCTGGGTTTTGGAGCAATGGGATCAAACCTAATTGAAAGGGCAGTAGCAGCCGTGGTCTCAGTCTGGCAGGCTGGTATATCCTGAAAAGTAGGAACCATTGAGCTCTAGTGCAGCAGTTATTAATTGGGATTTTAATACTGCTTCAGTAGAAGTCTCCTTTCTAACAAGAATGGAGCTGCTGCATGAATTAGAGGAAGGAAAAATAAGTGGCTTGTACCAATTCCTCAAGCACCACTGCAATAGAAAACATCTGTGAAATACTGGAGGTCTTGCATGGTGACATGTAATGATTAGCAGAGCAGCACAAACTTAACTAAAAAGTGGCCCTGCTTTATGTCCCTCGTGTTGGGAGTGTCAGTTTAACCTCGCTACTAATAATTATAGGCTATTTTAGAAAGCAGTATCTAGTTTGAAGTGTTCTGTATAAACAGGCATTGAAGCTCTGAAATGCAATCCCTGTTATTAGTGACATTTTTCTGTGTAGCTTTGTTTACATACACTGTATGCTAGGCAGATGGACTGCTCTTTTTGTATTTAATGGAATAAAACTCAAGCAGCTAACTAAAGTACTTGTTCTTTTGAATCCGCAGTGCACTCTAGTATGCTACTTTGAAATAATTGCTCTCTGCTAGCAGCTAGCTTTGAAACAGCCAAATGTTTTTGAGATGGCACTTGAGGACTCAACTGGAAAACATCCCTAGTTTTTATAGTCAATCCATTTTAATCCCAATTTGTTGCATCCCTGCAATTGTCAGGGCCCTAAAAAGTTGGCAACAGCAAGTCTGGGAAGCTGGCTCTGTTAACTAAAGTATTACATTTTTATTTTTGTTATCAAAGAAACTGGATATATCAAAAATAATGTGTAGTGGTGTTTTTGTTGTTCAAAGAGACTCTCCTTTTAATAAATCAGTAACAAGGCATTGAAGACTCTTGGGCATACAGGGATGTTTGCTGTAGATTAAATTTTGGTCTTTCCTGCTTTCTGAGTAAGACTTCAGTACTAATCAGATATTAATACAGTATTCCTAAGTGCACGTTTCCGTACTCTTAACATTTACATTTGTGTTTGGAGATATTGCATCTTAAACACAATTCCTTCACTTAATATTTTTTACAATAAATTAATATATATACTCTCTTTATAAAAAAAAATTTACATGAAAGTTCTTCCATTTATCTAATCTCCAATTTAGGTTCAACCACCGGTTTGTCTGCCACCCCACCTGCCTCCTTGCCTGGGTCCCTTACCAGTGTGAAAGCTTTACAGAAGTCCCCCGGACCACAACGAGAGAGGAAGTCATCCTCATCCTCAGAAGACAGGAATAGAATGGTAAGGGGCAGATCAACTATGTATTACTGCTTTTGTATTAGGCATCCTTATTCCTTTATCAAAGCCATCTAGAATTATTCTGGAGTTACTGATATTTGCTATCATATACGTTACGCCAATAAATAAGATAACAGGACAACATTAGGCTACTTGGACAGATGTATGAATCAGTTGTAAATCACTGAGTATATACAGGTTTTCTAGGTGGCATCCAAAAGATTCTATATACTTCATAGTGTGGTGCTGATCTCCCTAAGAGAAAAACTTTTAAAATGTTCTTACATCTCACACATTTTAGCTTCCTGATTCTACATTTAGCCTAATCCCCTGAAAGTTACTGGGTTTTAAAAATTCACAATTTAACCATTATTTGTCTTTCAAATTCCAACCTAGTCATGAGTTTTTTGGTTTATTAATATCATCTCAATTTTACTAGTGACAACTACCAAAAATCTGACTCAGTGATGAATGCCTCCATGATAGGAAATTATTTAGTGCATCTCTGTGCCAGAGTATAGAGGTACAGTATGTGCTCATCTTCAAAAAAAATCACAAACACTTAAGAGTAAAGATTAAATTATAAATAAAATATTACTAAGTACTTACTCTGGAAATCAAATGAAAATAAATTTTGCCTAATGATAAATGACCTATTAAGGCTTCAGGTTTAGAAAGATACCCAAGTAGCCTTTAGCTGGGAAAAAACCTGTTTTAATGAAGATTACTACAGTTGCATTTCTTTTCAAAGAAAACCCTTGGTCGACGGGACTCAAGTGATGATTGGGAGATACCAGATGGGCAGATTACAGTCGGACAAAGGATAGGATCTGGATCATTTGGAACAGTCTACAAGGGAAAATGGCATGGTATGTAATCATTGTGGTAAAGTACTGTTACCAAGCTTCATAGAGGAAGTTGTCTGGGTGTCTTTTTATTTAATTTTTCATTTAAACAAAGCAGTAGATCAAATGTGTGATATTGGAACTTCAACAAGTTAAGAAACAGATATCTTGCTAATTTTAGCGAGTAAAGTAATTATCACACTAAAGATGAATCCTAATTACTCATGAGCCTGAGGTGTCTATCTCTTATTGAATAAAGATTTCCAAAAGTATGTGTATGTGTGTTATGATCTATGTTGCATTTCCTCATTGAGTGATCTGTGTATACTATATACATCTTAATTTTGTTTATTAAATGGCTATTTTTAAGGTGACGTGGCAGTGAAAATGTTGAATGTTACAGCACCCACGCCTCAGCAATTACAGGCCTTCAAGAATGAAGTAGGCGTGCTCAGGTAAGACTGTGTAAATTATCTTTTTGATGACACTAGATAATCAATATGCATTTACATAGCTTCAGGAGTTATAACTCTTGGGTATTCTATTCAGAACACTGCACTTTATTCCCTTTATCATAATATTCAGAAGCAGAAATAATTAGCATTTTTCAGAAATATTTTGGACCTATTCCTAGTTTTTCCTTTCTAAAGATAAATTTGAACAGTGAGCAATTCTTGACCTGGCATCAGAAGTGTTTAAATCCTTCCATATAGTGAAAGAAGTTTAGAATACTGCACACACCCAGGCTGTGATATTTCCTTGATGAAACCTGCATTTGTATATTAGTACATCTAAAGGCAGTCACATCATCTGGATTGTGAAATTTCCATTAGTGCTTTCATTGATTTCCAGTGAAAATTTTCTTCTACAGGAAAACCCGACATGTGAATATCCTTCTTTTCATGGGTTATTCAACAAAGCCACAGTTGGCTATTGTTACACAGTGGTGCGAGGGTTCCAGTTTGTATCACCATTTGCATATCATTGAGACCAAATTTGAGATGATCAAACTCATTGATATTGCACGACAGACTGCACAAGGCATGGAGTAAGTATTGCATCACTTGTTTGCAAATGAACTTCGAGATAATATTGAATTCTTCTTTTTCTTTTGCTCTGCACTTGAAGTGCAAAATGAAGTTAATATCTATGTGCCACGGCCAGAGTCCTATCCTGATATATCACATCATTTTATGACAGTACTGAGTTATTGCTGCTGAAGAAAAGAGTAAAATAGGCCTTCTACTGTACTACTGTTAGAAGCATGGAGATATATTACTCAACAAGGAATATTGTTCCAAGAAGTAATATTTCAGCAGGAAATAAAGGTACTTAACAAAAATTAAAGGTAATTAGATAAACTTTAGTATGTCTAACTTTAGTCTAGTCAGTCTGTTTATCAAAGCCCCTGTAGTTCTCATGTTAAGAAGAGTGAAACAGTAAATTTGCAGAAATCTGAAAATCTGTATCCAGAGTATTTGATTAAAAACCAAATCCTGCAAATCCTTTAGCTATTGCCAACACTTCTATTACAGTGGATGATCAATTCTAATATAAAACATAGAGTTTCAAGACTGAAGGAAGAATATTTATCAAAAAGATGGGATGCCAAGGTTTAATTATGAGCTCTGAGATATAGTGTTAGGTTTAAAGCAAAGGACCAAATCAGTAGTCATCATGATCTTTAACCTGAGGCTTATTAACACTGAGATTTTACCTAAAAATCCTAAAATAGCAATAAAACAATAACTTTAGGGCTGTAATCTGTTGATTACTCTGATAATTCATATGTGTGCTGTTGTTTGTAGTTTAGAATACAATCATATTTCATACATTCAGTGAAACACTTGTGTTGATTTATGTACAACAGTTGTAAATATGGGATCTGCATTTGGCATTTTGCAATCTCTACTTGCCTTCTAGTAATTTATACAGTTTTACACATTGTAGGATCCCCATCCCCAGGCATCTAGCACCTTACAATAAAAAATAAAATAGAAATAAAATAATCACTCCGAATGCGCAATGAAACAGAACTCTGCAATATACCAGAGAAGGCAGATTACCTCATCAGCATTCAGGATCAGTTTCTTTACTGTTAACTTAAACATGTCAACCTCCAATTCTGATACAGATATTTGAGTTTCTAATTTAAATACTAGAATTCAGTATTTGAATAATACAGCTATTCATATCAACCTTAAAGAGCTCAGGTGATCCTGCAAGGACTGTGTGAGTAATCCTAACTCACATGGGTTGTCCCACTGAAGTCAATAGGACAATTTGTGTAAATAAGTGTTTATTGGACCCATATTCTGTACTTCAACAAATTAAAATACTAGTAAGGTCAAGATTCGCCCTCTGAAAAATTATCAAAGTGACTAAAGTTAATAATAGTTCCAGTAGATAAGATGCTATGCTGAATACAGTGGTATTTTCAGTCAAGACTTGGTGTCTGGGGATCACCATAAAGAAGGCTGGAAGGTGGAGCTGTTCAACACAGAAGGTCATTTCAAAAGCTTTGGTTGAAATTCCTCGATGCTGGCTTCGAATGTTGAGTTAAACACAAATAAAAAACAAGGTTTCTGCAGCACAGCTGGTTATGTTATTCTTCAGCAATGCCAGATTTGACACTAGAAATCTAATTCTTTCTGCAAAACTGCTCCTGGTTTGATAGGACTATCAAGGGTAACTGAAGATTTACTACTTTGACTCTGTGCATTTTTAATATGTAAACTGTTTGTTGCTTCACTAGAATAGAGAGTGTACGTTGAACTGTTGATGAATGAAACATCCTTTAGCCCATCCATCCCAAAACATTCTTTGTTTCTTTTCAGTTACTTGCACGCCAAGTCAATCATCCACAGAGACCTCAAGAGTAATAGTATCCTTTCCTAAAGATGTGACCTTGGAACATGACATGAAGCCTCTTTCTTGTGCCAGAAATGAACTTCCCAAAGTGAAAAACAGCTCACAAGTGATTCTTTTCAGAAATGTTAGAGGAGAGTTGACATTTGGGCGGGAATGGGGTAATAGTACCAAGAGCAGAAAAGAAATACTCATTGTGCTTTATAATACGTTCACAAAGGGAAAGCAAGTTTTGTTGAAGTATCAGCATTCACTTCAGATAACCATTCATCTTGTGAACATGGAAGGATCCTGACAACTCACTCACAGACTTCCACTATATCTGCTGTTTCCAGCAGCCCTTTAAGGATTTGACATTGTAATGTGATCATCTGGTCCATAGTCTGCTTAGTACTAATCTAACCATTATAGCTATCTTTAGAGCAGGGGTTCCCAAACTTGGTTCGCAGCTTGTTCAGGGTAAGCCCCTGGCGGGCTGTGAGATGCTTTGTTTACCTGAGCATCCGCAGGTATGGCCACTCGCAGCTCCCAGTGGCCATGGTTCGCCGTTCCCGGCCAATGGGAGCTGCTTTAGAGGATAGGACTTCACAGGTGCTGGCTATTTGGAATCTAGGCCTATGCGAGAACTGATCACTTGAAAATTATACTTTGTATGGATGCTACAAACTGGTACACCTAACACTGCAGGCAGAGGGTCATGTAATGTGTTCATGCTTGATAGGAATCTGTAGGGTCAGTGCTTCTTTTCCTTTACATTTCCTCCATAGATATATTCCTTCATGAAGACCTTACTGTAAAAATAGGTGATTTTGGTCTAGCCACAGTGAAATCACGATGGAGTGGATCCCATCAGTTTGAACAATTGTCTGGGTCCATTCTATGGATGGTAAGTAAAGGGGAATGGTGTAGTCCTTTCAAATTATTTGGCTGTAGATGGCCTTTGAAACATCAGCTCCTATTCTTTCAAAAGGTTTTCATTTTGACCAAAGGTCTCCAAACACCACCCCTCAAGCACGCAGACGTATAGAATCTGACTTAAGCTGACATGGTCAAGATCAACTAAATTAATACTTGTAATTCTTCTTTAAAAATATTTTCAAAAAATCAGCAAAATCTGAAATGTTCTCACGTTTGTTTAAAAATAATTTGCTTTTAAGTTTGATATATTCAAGTGTAGCTGATATGAAGAAACTATCATAAAGATTATCCAGATTGATTACCTCTTCAGAAGAAACTTATTTAGTTTTGTTTAGCCCAGCTTTACCCTCCATCCACACCTTAAAACTTTGATGGCGGTCAGGGTTGTTTTAGCACTGTTGTAATTCCAGTTTCAGAATTGCTTCTGAGTCTGTAAAGTGTCAGTTGGCCTGTCATAGTGCAGTAATGAACTCACTCAGTTTGATAGCCAATGGATTTAGAAATTCATGTTCAGATCCACCATATTAATGCTGTAGCCCCAGCAGTTCTGGACAGAGCCATCCCTTGGATATGGCGAATCAGGGCAACAGCTCCAGGCCCCATGCTTCAGTGTGCGTGTCATGCAGGGGGGCGCTAGGCCGGCCCCGGGGGGGGGGGAGGGTTAGGGGTGCCTGGGGGGCCAGGGCAGCCCAGGGGGGTGGGATTACAGGTTCAGGGGACCAGGTTGGCCTGGGAGTCTAGCGGGGGCCTGGTGCCGGCAGCGGGGGTCGGGCCTGTACTCACTGGCGGGAAGCACGCGTTGCATTTCTTTTTCTTGCTCGCCCACTGCTGCACTGGCCTTCAGTGTCCTAGCGCCGCCAGAACACGCCAGGGCCAGGCTGACCCCATCCATTGCCCTTCCGCCCCAGACCCCTCTCTTTTCTGGGAGCCCCTAGCACAAGGGGGCCCCCTGGCCCCTAGCACAGGTGCCACCATGTGACTCTCCATCTTCCCTCACCCCCCAAGCACTGGTGTCTGTTCCCCACACCAGATTTCACCTGTATGTAAAATATTAAGAGGGGCCTATACTGGCTGATTTGTCCTGAGTCCCGCACCCACCTTAGGGACGGCCCTGGTTCTAGAGCATCTGTTTTCAGCAGTGGACCTGAACAAATCCAAGTACATGTTTCCAAAGTTACAAGATTTTAACAAATACCTCTGGTACAGCAACTAACTGAGAGAAATTGGGTAATCAGTACGGAGGAGAGAGAGAGAGCATGGAAGCCTATGTGTTTTCCTATTGAGCAGTTGGAGCCTAAAACGGAAAGACTGCATTTGCATGGCACCTCACTTGCTGTTGTTTCACTGCTTGTTTGTTCTTTTTTTAAAGCAAAAGTTTCATATTTGGTGTGTGAGATGGCAGCCTGAGGTGGTAAAATGCAGAATAATCCTCTTTCCTTTTACAGGCACCAGAAGTAATCAGGATGCAAGATAAAAACCCTTATAGCTTTCAATCAGATGTATATGCATTTGGGATTGTTCTTTATGAGCTGATGACTGGGCAGTTACCATACTCGAACATCAACAACAGGGACCAGGTAAAGAGAGCATGGGTTTGGGGAGGTTTTGATTGCACTGCCTCACTAGTCTGTTGTAGGTGTTAACTGCAATGTAGAATAATTTAGGCATGTGAAATGAACAAGCTAATGTTTTTCAGCTGTCCCTTCTCAGTGTAGACTCATTTTGACCACCTAGCATCATTCTCACACTTCTTTTAATTCTTTTCTGTTTTTCTTACTGCAAGTTTCAAATTCTGAAAACTGTGTGGCAGGAATCTGCTTAAAGAGAGAACTTGTTATTTATGGTAATCTAATTTCGTTTTAATGATCTGCAAAAAGCAGGTGATCTTCCGTATATTCACATTTATCCACCTTCCTCCTTCCTGATTACTTCAAATTAACATAGGCTTGAGAAATGTTCAGGAAAAGAACTGAGGAGGCCAACAGATTGTGTCCTGTATTCAGCTCATACATTGAAAAGTGCATACATTAGTTAATTGAAATTCAGGATTTCAAGCAGCTCCCAAGGTCAGCTTAGTGAAACACATGGCTTTCCAAAGTGTGCATATCCTGGAAGAAGATTACTTAATTGTGACCAACTAATCAGTAAGTCACGCAGTGTTGAGGGAACATAATATGCCTCCATGTAACAATGTTCAGAGACCTTACTTGTTTCATAATTTTTCAGTTTAATGTGGACATTGGATGTGTGTGTATGTGTCATGGCCTTTAGTGAAAACTGTCTAAGGTCTGGGTGATACCATTTGTTACATTCTTTGTGTCTCCATACCTGTTCTTGTAGTGTCAATATTGAGAAATGCAGCCATAGCAATGTTCATCCACAGAACTTAATTGTATATGGCTGTGTGACAGGGTGCTATCAGCAGCACCCTGATCACTGACATTGCTGCAGCCTGGAGAAGGCTGAAGGCAATTACACACTTTCTGATGAGGGACTGTGAGCATCTGGGTGACAATCACTGGGTTAACAAGGTAATTGGGGAGAATATAAGGGGAGGAAACAGTCTGCAAGGGGCAGCCTGAGAGGGGCTCAGAGGGTGACCCTGGGCTGGGGAGTGAGGGCTGCAGGGAAGCCTACCCTTGCTATAAGCCTGCATTGCATGCTGTTGTTATGTAAGAGGGGAATGAATACACACTTTGGTGAAAGATAAACAGCCTGGTGTGTGTTTGTGACTGAGAAATCAACTGAACGGGCCAGGCAGTGAGGTTCACCAGATAGTGACAGAGGCGCCCTGTGACAGGCTGCTTCCATATATGTCAGAATGCTTCACAATTCATCAGATCTTGAGTGACTCATTCGCTTTCTTGTTTCTGCATTTTACATCTTTTAAAGGAGGGGAAAATGCCGACATTCCCAGCCAGCAGGCTGTTACCACTTACAAGTTGTACTTGGCCCTGTTTCATTTTAATTTTTTGACAGCTCTGACTCATGAATCAGTTTTGTCTGCCTGGTGATAGATGACATGGATGCTGACTGTTGTTTTCTGAAACAAATTTTAAACCACAGGTGCAGCTGATGTGTAAAATGCAGTGAAATGCCTTGAGTTTATCTTCCTCGGTCCATTGACTGAAAAGGATGTAAACAGGGCGCTGTATGTTTTGACAGTTTTAGGCCACGAAGAAAACAAACAGTTTAGCTATGACATGAAAAGTTAAGTCCAAGTTTGACAGTGGGCAAAATCTATGTCACTCCTTATTGGCTCTGTGATGTAATTGAACTCTGGCATGCCTGTTTATAGATTATGCAGGCCTTAGATTAGGACTACTGTTCTTGTGATGTTCCCCTACTCGTAAAGATTTTTAAAAAAAAATAAAGTCCTCAATGTTAATTAAACCCGTAATATTGAAATCAGCAAACAAAAACAAATTATCAATAATTTCAGTGTTAAATATTTACTGTAGTCTAAAGAATGCTGTCTCCTGGATGGCAAAAAGTCTGCCTCTTTGGAGCAGAAGCAAGGGGTAGACTAGACAAGTTTTTACATTGGATACTTAGTTGGTGCTTGTGAGTTTCCAAAGATGTTGTGTGGGAGCTTCAGGCTATCTCCTAAAGGGAGGGCAGAAGCTCTTTGGGTCCAAAGTTTAAAGAAGGAGCAGTAGAATATGTTAACTTAAGCAGCCTCCATATGTAACTTGCTTTGCCTCCCATACAAGACATAAAATAATTACATTTCTTTAAATGTGAAGTCACAACACGCCTGCTGGATCCATCTGGGTAGTTATTCAGCAAAGGTCGTGTTTGTCTGTTACAGCATGAATAGATCTTTGACTAGTTTGAAGAGGTTTTTAGTATCAATGGAATGTTCAAGCTCCATTATATTTGACCTTTGCTTTACATAATAGTGTCTGCTTCATATTTCTAAAAGAAGATGCACCAGAATTCACTTTGCCTTCCCACTAGATATTTATTGAGTTGGAGTTGTGTGCTTCAGTTTTAGTCCTTTCTGGAATGCAGGCCTTCCCTGTTCAATAAATTGGTATTGAAAATGCAAGATCTATTTCCAAACAAAGCAGACCTATAGCACTCTGGCTCAGTAGAAGAGAGGCAATCTCTCCTTTCCCAATATGTTAAGAAAAAGTAGTCAGAAGAGAATCAGGAGAATTTCTGATGGAAAAGTATGGTGCCATATGTTTCTTTAATTGTCCTAAGGTGTGAATTTGCCACTGACTTCTGGATAAAATAGCGCAAAATCATTAAATGGCACACAATATTTATCCTTTAGTCCTGCAACAGAGCCATTTAGTCTTTTTATTATAACCTCTTTCGGTGTTCAAGAATTGTTCCTTATATACATTCCTGCAAATAGTATTGTCTACTAGCATTTATGGTTTCCCCCTTAGTTCCTTTTTAAAAGGGGAATGGAAAAAAGAGCATAACTCCTTTTCTACTGAAATGATTTATGAAGTATATCAGCAAAGTCATTCGTCTCAAATGATGTGGAATGTACTATGCCAGATACTTCTACATATGTGCAGAGAACTACTGCTGGAATATTGACAGTTAAATATGTGTAATTCTTTCCAATTTGTTACATGGTTTTGTTTTATGAATTTTCCCTTTCCCTTTTTCTTTAAAAAGATCATTTTTATGGTGGGACGAGGATACCTGTCTCCAGATCTCAGTAAAGTGCGAAGTAACTGTCCAAAAGCCATGAAGAGGCTAATGGCAGAGTGCTTGAAGAAGAAAAGAGATGAGCGACCCCTCTTTCCACAGGTAAAAAATGTTCCCATTTTGGATTGAGGTGGCAGGTAAAAAGTAGTCTGATGGTTCTCATCTATTATTGGGCTCAGGACCCATTTGTAAACTTAGATGGCCTGCCGTGACCCAGTAAATAGCATTGGTGCTAAAAACATCTGGCTTATGAAATATTTCTTACCCACAATATATTACTCCTGGAGGAATTCTGCGCCATTGCGCATGTGCATATTTCATGTGCCGTGCATATTTTTTGTGTGTGCAGAAAATAGCTTCTGCTGAAAAGTTGCTGCAGTTCCGCCTTCTGCTCACCAGAGGGCTCTGTGGCGCTAGAACACAGCAGCTGCTCCTGGTAAGCTCTAGCTATAATAGGGAAGAGAAAGAGCCTGCAATGCCTTCTTCACAGCGCCTGTCAGGCCAGGTCAGGAGATATGGGATGACAGACAGTGTGGGGTTGCTGGGGGGGTCACAGACAAGTGCTCGTGGGGGAGGACAGACTGGGGAAGAGGCTGAATGGGAGTGAAGGTGCAGGGCCATAAGAGGAAGGGAGGTGCAGGGCCACAGGGGGCGCAGGGACACATGGAGATGGGGGGAGGGGGCTGGCTGAACTGGTGCAAGGACATATGGGCAGAAGGGGAAGGGGTGCAGAGCTACAGGGGGAAGGGGGATGGCTGAGTGGGGGCACAGAGACACATTGGGACAGGAGCAGATGTGCCTGACTGTATGGGAGAGGCTAGGGCAGGGGTTGGCAACTTGTGGCTACGGAGCCACATGAGGTTCTTTGGCTGCCCCCTTGCGGGCAGCCGTTTTTTGAGGGGATGCGAGGTGCAGGCTCTGGCCGGAAGGCACTTACCACAGGCAGCTCCCGGCTGGCAGTGCAGCAGGGTTCAGCAGGCAACCTGCCTGCCTCTCCTGGCCCCACGCCGCTCCCGAAAGTGGCTGGCTGCTGGCACGTCTCTGCGTGCCCCTTGTGGGGAGGGGGCAGCGGGTCTCTGTGTGCTGCCCGCAAGCACCACCCCTGCAACTCCCATTGGCTGGTTCCTGGCCAATGGGAGCTGTGAGTACGGTGCTGGGGGTGGGGGCAGCACGCAGAGCCGCCTCCCCCCTGCCAGGGGCACGCAGAGATGTGCCAGCAGCCAGCCGCTTCTGGGAGTGTTGAGGGGCCAGGGCAGGCAGGCAGCCTGCTGAGCGCTGCTGCGCTGTAGGCTGGGAGCGGCCTGTGGTAAGCGCCACCCAGCCAGAGCCTGCACCTCACACCCCTCCCGCACCCCAACCCCCTGCCCCAGGTCAGAACCCCCTCCTGCACCCAAA